ACAACTAAGAAATGAAAAAATAAACTAATTAATCTAAATGCAAAAATAATTATGAAAAGCTTGATTAATTCAATTTTTGAATAATTTGATATAGTAGAGCTTTTTTACAAACTACTAGTTATAAATAAATTTAATTACTATAATATATAACTATAATATATATAATAAATAACAATAATATATAATATACTATAGTTATATAACTAACTAGTTATAAACATAAAAACAGCAGACAAAAACAAACATAAAAAACAGCAGACAAAAACAAATATAAAAAACAGCAGGCAAAAACAAACATAAAAAAACAGCAGACAAAAACAAAATTTAAAGTAAAACAGTTAAACAACCAAAGACTTAATTTTGAATTTTTGATTTCCAAAAAAATTAAAGTGACCAATATTTTTGAATACTTTTTGTTCTGTTTTGCTTATTATCAATGTTGTCGTCCTTATTGTATATTTTTGCAAAGTATAGTAATTAATTGTGAAATTAAACAAAGTCAAAACAGATAGAAAAACATGAAAATTTTTATCTAGTTTACAACAGTCTCAAATATTTGAAATATATATATATATATATATATATATATATATATATATATATATATATATATATATATATATATATATATATATATATATATATATACACATATATATATATATATATATATATATATATATATATATATATATATATATATATATATATATATATATATATATATATATATATACATATATATATATAACATATATATAATATTGAATAAAAAGTGATATACTAACTGTTAACTAACCACAGAAATAATTCCTGATTTATGACCTTTTAATTCAGAGATTTGTGTTATAGTTTCTCCAAGCTCCCAAACTCTAACCATTGGTTGTTGGCCACACTACAAAATAAAAAATGTCATAATAAATTATCAAATTATCAAAGAATAAAAAAGTATCAAACATGAAATAATTACAAATTGTCAAACAAATATAATCAAAGAATAAATTATTACATATGTAACAAAATTTTAGTTCCTGGTTTCCAACGGTTATATTTTAACTGGTTAAGTTTAAAGTCTACAAAAAAACTACCATAAAACAGGGTGAATATGAAGGCTTTTAAAAGTTTTTATGGCACCACTGACTGAGAATCTTTGTGATTCTTTTTGCTAAGTATGATCATATGAAATGCTCCAACGAAATTATGCATTTTTTGATAAATAAAATTAAAGACTAACCTTATTATTTATTTTTTTTGCTGTCAGTAATTATTGACCCTGCATGTGGGGTGAATAGAGACACCAACTGTTTTAGATTATTGTATTCTATTATATACTATTACACCTCTGATAGGGGTATATTAGGGATATAAGGAAATTTTTTCAAAAATATGTGTGAGTGTGTGTACCTAAAATACACTGGGTAAATTCAAAACTAGGGATGTACAATAGTCATATAATTGGATAAAATCTTCATAGATTATAAAAAAACAAATTTTTGTTAAAGTTTTTATTACAACAGTTATTAAAAAGTGCAGTTTTGAGCATCAAAATTACAGATTTTAGAGATAGCATGACAATGTAAAACATAAACTGCATATGCAACATTTTGATATAGTTCCACAATCACATTTTCAGTGCTTTTGTCAAAAAATATTTCAGGCTTATTTTTAACATGATTTACTGCAACAGATAATGTCACAGCCAAAACAATATGTCAACAATTATATAGGCCTGAGTCATACTTGATTAGAAAAAAAAGTTTCACTGGTCAAAAAACTCATCTGGTTTATGTTTCTTTTGCTATAACTGTCCCTAACACCTTCTTTTATAGAATAACATTCAGCAAAACTTTAATTTTATGGTCGCAATCTATAAAAATATTTTTTTGTGACAAAACAAGAAAATAAATTATATTTTGGTTCATGCAAGTTAAATAAAAAAATACTGGCATAGTAAATATACAAAGACAGTAAACAATTACTGAAATAAGTTCTAAAATGTGTTTATTTTCAAGATTTGTGTAAAAATGGGTTTTTTTAAGAAGCCTCTAAATGCATTCTCACATCATGTTTTCATAATACTATTTTTTGTGGCAATGTTTATGTGGCAATGTTTGTAATTTAATATTTCTTAATGCAAGAGTATGACTTGTTCCTCATAGTAATCTCTCATAATCCCCTCTTAGTAATCTCTCATAATCTCCTTGAATTTTTCATAATGAGAATCAAAGATATGAACTTCAAAAGACATTCTGCATCACATTTTTTACAATGAGCATCAAGAATATGAACTTTAAAAAAAAAAAAATTGCAACAAAAAAGTTTCAAGCTATTTTCTCTGTCATGTTTAGCTACTCATTAAGTTATCTGATTTTCAGGAATGACACCATTTTGACTCTCTGATGATCTCCCACCCAGTCATCAAACTCTTTGGCTCAATGTGGACTAAATTAGTTTTTAATGATTTAATCCACATTGAGCCACAGAGTTTGACACCTTTAAATCATCATTATGAGGTGCAATTTTAAAGTTCCAGGATAATTATAGCCAATACCTATAGCCTTGAATAGACCAGCCATATTGTTGTAGAAGCACTGTCTATCTTGATAACTAAAAAAGTTGACACTTTCCCTAATCTGAGACTTGCAGGTTGTCATCTAATAAGTTCCACTACTTGAGCCCAGATGTCAGAAGCTCAGAATTGGAATTGGTAAGACTTCTAATCAGTTGATGTTGTTTTGATTAGAGAAATATGGTCATCTCTCACAAACTTACTTACTTACTTACTTGTCTTACTTGTTGTGTGAACTGCTGTTGCATCCAGTTGGCTGATCCCTTTATAAAAGAGTGAGAACATGCGGCTCATATCATTGTAAAATCGGAACAATTAAACAAGCCTAATAATGTTTGAATAAACAATTTGAGGTATATTCTTGCCAGTGTAATGTTTAATAGGAGCCACCATGTAGAAGCCATGTTTCTTGAGTGTTTTCTTTACTTTTTCTTTAGAATATAAAATTATCATAACATAAAGATTTGTTCACAATAATACATTTTTTTTTTACATATAAACTACTTTTTTTCATTGGAAATGAAACATGAAATTATCATAATGTAAAGATTTGCACACCATGAAACTATCATAATGTAAAGATTTGTACACAGTAATACACTCACTGATTTTGTTTTTACAGATAGACTAATATTTTCTAGGACATGAAATTATCATTACATAAAGATTTGGGCACCATAAAACATTTACTATTTTTTTTTACAAATAGACCGATTACCTAGAATATGAAGTTACAATGGCATCAAAAAAAAGCATCTGTTGAAAATTGTGCAGACATTGTGAATGGTATTTTATTAAGACATTAAATTAACAAATTCTAATTTATATTACCATGTGAACTTTTATTTTAGGCTTTCCATCATAATATAAGTATATTATGTTGTTATCTTATGTCTATTATTAATGTAATATAAACTTTGCAGTAAGTAACAAACAAACAAAAAGTTACATACTTCGCCGGATGCAAGATATTTTCCATCTCCTGAAAAATTTAAACAAGTGATTGTCTTTCTAAATTAAACCATAAGAAAACTATAAAAAGAGAGATTATAATATTATTATAAATATATAAAAAAAGAACAAAACTAAAAACCTTTCCAATCATAAAAAACACGAGTGATGTCACAACAGTGAAGTAACAGTGTAATGAGTTAAAGCAGTGCAATTTAAATCAATATTAGGTAATGTAATATTAGAAAGATTGAGGTATGATTAAAATCAAAATATCCATAAAGTTAAAATAATGATAAGTTGATGGGTACCGGCCTGTTGGTTACTACCCGGGTAACATTATTAAATGAAGGGTAACTGTCATTTGATAATTTTTAAACTTTAGACCTATTAATATTAATACAACAGCTTAACAATATTAACTTGTAATGTGGATGATCATAAATAACTTGTATTAAAAATTTTAAAGCTACTTCTCTACCACCATCAGAATTTCTGAAAACATTCAATATGTTTGGAAAGTTATTTGAGTTTCTGGTTCAGATATATATTAAACTTAATGATTATTATAACTCTTAAATACAATGTTTTCCTTTATGTAGAACAGTACTTATCCAAATTGTTTACTAACTTGTCTCTCTGACAAAAATCTTTTAAAACCTGGAAAATGGAAATTAAAATTACGATGTTTTAGAGAGTTCTCACACAAGAACATGTGCACACCAGCAACTTTAATGCCATCAGAATATGCTTTAACAACTGGATAGCATGTGGTCAATCTAGAAAGTGCATCTTTAGCACCCAAAACAGTGAAATAAAGTCTGATCACACTTAAATTCTGACCACGCATATAATATTTAGTTATGACAACTTGACCACATCTTTTTGATGTTTTAAAAACATTTATGCATGTTTTCATGCATGATCAAAATCTTTCAAATCAATTTTCATGATCAAAGTCTTTTAATTTTTTAAATCAAAAAAAAAAGTCTTTTGGAAAAGTGTGTATGCGTGTGTGGATAACCCCCTGGCTCTCCTGGTGGTGCCAGCCTTGTGTAACCTAAATACAAGTAAATAAAAATTTAGTAATAGTAAAAAAACTTTTCAAAAATTGATGACATCATTTAACTGAAGGTTTTTTAAATTGTAACATAACTTTACTGTCTTTTTTATTAGATATATATTTTAAATGAAAAAAGTTAACCAAAGAACAAGCTATTCTAGCATCAGTCATTATATGAGGAAGCATTGTATTTCTTATTTTTTCCAAAGGTTTCAAAAATTGCTTAAATGTACCATTAATAGCCTCAACAACCTTTCTGCATTTTGTAACAAATGGTTACCTTGTAAACTAGTTAACTAACTTTTAGAACAAGTTGGCACCTTGGTAAATACTTTGTAGTTTTTAATTCATTAATGATATCTTTAAAACATCTATCTAAAACTAAAAATTCCTTGAATGAACTAGTTCTTCTAAATGGCATTTTATTTTTAAAATATCACCTAATATAGTCATTAATATCACATAATATAGTCATTAATAGTTGCATCATTAATAGTTGCAGCAAAAGGTTTAGAAACATCAATAAAACTATTTGCAGTACATACTATAAAAGGATTAACTGAATGTTTTTTTTTTTTTGCCTACTGTATAGCTTCTTTGTAAAAAATTATTTGAACTTATTTTCACCGAATAAATAAGTAGCATCGGCTAAAACTGCTAGCTATTTGTCTTTTAAGTCAAAAAAATCTTTGATCATATCTGTGTTATAAAATTACCAATCTTTTTGTGACCATGTTTTTGCTACTAAACTTTTTCCAACAAGCATTAAGCGAGACTCTTATCTGCAAAGCGAGGCTTACCTTATCTTATGGCAATATTTCTGAACTTTCCGTGACATGCCAAATCAAAATCAAAAGCAATTGAAATTTGATCAAGACCAGTCTTTAACCAAAAGAGATAAAATGTTTTAAATGCTTGTTCTTTCAAGCATTTAAAAGACTTTTTTATTGTTTTTAATTCACTTCCCAAACATTGAATTTCATCTTTGGTAAAACCTGTATTTTGGAAACAGAACTTAGCTGTTACTTATACTTATAATGTTATTTATATCACTAAAGAAATATGTATACGCGTACATGCTGAAAAAAGAGGCAATATTTACTTATGTAACAGAGCTTTAGTTTTTTAAATTTTGTTAAATTGATTATTTTTGCTTATTTTGAAAAAGTAATACATCAAATCAACATATTTGCAGTGTTTTTTCAATTTTGTTTTGAAAACAAACTAAAACAATTTCTTAAAAAATTGTTGTTGTTGTTTTGAGTTCAAAATTATTTTTAAGTTGTAAAGTGTAGTTTTATATTGTTTTCTAACATCCTTGAGCATAAACATGTGTTTTAGAAAGAAAAAGAAAAGGGAAGAAAATGTATGTAAGTTTGACATGACTCTAAAATATATTCTATCACTTTTAAATAAAATTAACCATTTAAAAAATAAACCAATTACTATTAAAATATTATTCAAATTCAAAAAACACATGACTAATAAAAAAAAACTGCATACAAGTCTTAAAATTAAAAAAAACACATTACTAATGAAAAACTTCATATAGAGCTTCAATAAAAAATTAAACAGTAAAATTTAACAGTTTAAAAAATCTACATTACTTACTTCTCTTGGTTAATAATATGTCTTTGCTGTTCAGACTTTGGATTGTAGAGAACAATTACACATCTAAAAACATAAAAACAGATATAACATTTTATCAAAACAATTTTTTACGACTTTTATCAGCATTTTAAGTAGGAATATCAATCAATAAGCATCAAGGTAAATTTTAAAATATTTTAAGCATTATGGGATTTCAATAAGCAACAAGGTAAATTCCATATAATAAATACATAATAATAAACATCATTAAATAGTGTTACAACTCATTAATTAAAACTTTGTTAAATACACACACAGATATATATATATATATATATATATATATATATATATATATATATATATATATATATATATATATATATATATATATATATATATACATATATATATGCATATATATATATATATATATATATATATATATATATATATATATATATATATATATATATATATATATATACATATATATATATATATATATATATATATATATATATATATATATATATATATATATATATATATATATATATATCCTAAAGTCCTAAAGTAAAATCATATATTTCAGATAGATAGTAAAATACTGAACAATTTCACTAAAAACTAGTTGGATTTTAAAGTTTTTAAAAATAAAACTGTTAAATTAATTGGCTTTAAATGCTATCTGTAAATAAGTGAAAGATTAGAATATAATAATAATAATAAAAATAAAAATTAACATTTTTATTTCTTTTTAAAACTAATCGAAAAAATAGATTTGCAATTGTAGTTTTTAAACCTAAAAAAAAACTCTCTTGAAAACTGAAACCTGGTTTTTTTAACCATTATTGTTTTAATGTTTTATTTAATTGAAAACTGAAACCTAGTTTAAGTTTTATAAAGAATTATAAAAAATTTTTTTAAATTTAATTCAAGTTTATAGAATGCAATTTTAAACTGCTTTTTCTAACGCAATATCACAAAAAAACTGACTAAATTAAATAAATTACCCAGCAGGATAAGCAACAACTCCGGAAATAGGATTACAAGCGATTCCATTTGAATTGGTGGTTGTCAAACCTAGTACTCTCTCAAGAGAAACCTGAATTATTTTGAGTAAAAAAAATTATTCACTAAAACAATTTTTAATAAAACTTGGTTACAAATTTCACCTATAATTAAAACTGAATACCTTTTCATTTAGAGATCGCAGATCAGCTCGACTAGCTGCTTTGCGAATTAGTTTCCGAGGTGTAACTTTATTTAAAAACCCACTTGCTGATTTCTTCATAACTTCAAACTTTAATTCTGATTTCAATTAGATTCAAGTTTATAAATATTTTGTGAACACCTGTTACTTGTTAATTCCAGTTTAATAAAACAAATTTCTTCATTATGCTTCTAACTACAAACAAAAACACAGATTGTAAAACTTTAAAAAATGATTTATAAATAACTAAATTTTTAAGCCAGTTTCTAGTTTAGGATGCATGCTTCTAAAGTTGTTATCTAAACATAAAGGTACCCTCTAAGACTGAGAAGTTCTGAGTTATGGTAGCCATCAAATGTTTCTTTGTGCAGCAATCTTGTTTGTCTCATGTTTTGGAATTAGTAAGGTGAAAACAGAAAAACAATATCAGAGTGCATGCGGGTAAAGTGACCCTCTAAAGATGTGCCCTACATGTTTGCAATCAGGGTGCATGTTTAATAATAAATAAAAATAAATTGTTTTAAAAATTGTTTTATTTTTTATATTTCTTTCTCTATAATCGACATGGAATTAACCTTCAATCTTAGATATGGTAAATTTATACATTGAAACATTTTATTTTAGGATTTATATTCAAAATTTTACTATATATATATATATATATATATATATATATATATATATATATATATATATATATATAAATTTTATTATATATTTATTATTTATTATATATTTATTATTTATTATATATACATTTTTTATTTTTTAACATTATTTAATAACATAAATATTTATAAAATATATTTTACACTCAGACATCTCTACTTTTAATTTGAAAATACTTTATTTTAGAATACTGTTTATGTCATTATTTTTTAGACTATCTATGTTGTAACTAGATATGCTAATAAATTGAAACAATTGCTTGGGATCCAAAATATACGAACTTAATTAAAAAAATATTGTTTTCTACAAAAATAAATAAATATATAAAATAAATACAATAAAAAAAGCAAAGTTTTATAGCAGGTAAAATAGCTAAACCAATACCAGCAAAAACATTAAAACCAGTAAAAATATAAAGCCTTAATTATTTACATATGTAAATAAAATAAAAACCATTAAAAAATTTTATGTATTTAATATATTTATGTATGTATTTAATGTATGTATGTATTTAATGTATTTAATGTATGTATGTATGTAAGTATGTATGTATGTATGTATGTATGTATGTATGTATGTATGTATGTATGTATGTATGTATGTATGTATGTATGTATGTATGTATGTATGTATGTATGTATGTATGTATGTATGTATGTATGTATGCATGCATGTATTTATAAATGCATATTAAGTTTATTATAATAATAAATTAATTTGTAAAAAAAATTAAAGAATTTCAATTATATTATTATTTTCCATCAAAAATAATATAATTCAAATTAGTTCCTGCTACATTAATCTTTATTCATATAACAAAAAAATAATTATTTATTAATTATTCTTTACAAAATAATAATTTTTTCTTTGCATTTAGCCACAATGACAGCTATTTTGATATTAAAAAAAAAAAAACGAATTTTTAAAAAATGCCTTGAACTTTTATAATACTTTTTTTACATCCTTGTTTTCATGAACTTTCTTTGACTTACCAATTAAACTTCTTAACAAAAAAAGGTCAAATCATTTTTATGTTATCTGTATGTACGGTATGTAATGTATCATCACCAAATAAAAACAAACTTTTTTTTTCAATTAAAACAAAGAAAGGAAAGTTGAATATGTATCAACACCAAGTAAAAACAAACTTTATTTTAAAATTAAAACAAAGAAAGGAAGGTTGAACATACCACAGCTAATTAGCACACACAAAAAAAAAAAAAAATACGCAGGATGTCGATTATAGGAAATAAAGTTCTTTTAACACAATAGCAACATTTCCAATAAAAGTGTTGTACTTTCTTAAATCCGTTGTATAAACTAATTTAGTAGTGTAACCATGACAATACTAACAGTTGAAATGTCACTTGTAATTTAAAAAATTATTTCATTATAAAAAACTATTTAATAAAAGGCTTTAAACATAAAAGATAATTCTATTTAGATTTCAAAACACTAATATTGATCAAAGATTAGTTCTTTTATTAATAGAAATGTGATATTAGCTCTTTACAACCAGACACATAAAAAAGAATTAAATAAACAAATGTCTTCATTTATAAGCTATTGACAATTCAAATAAAATTCCATAAATAACAAAAAAACAACAAAATAGTAACATTTTATGTGCCAAAACATAGGATAACATAAAGTAAGAACATTTTCATAAAAATACTAAATAATGTATATCACAAAATAAATTTTCCAATTAAGGGTTTTAAAAGGTATTAAATTTAAATAAAAAGAAAGAAAAAAAGTTTTGATAAAATCAGGAAAAAAAAATTAAAATCCAAATCTACAACCAAGTTGAAAAAGATTTCTCTTATTAAATATTAATAATACATTAAAAGCTACTAAAAAAGCATTGTTATCTCACAAAAATAAATAATTAACCTAGGTAAGCTGAATAATAGGGAGGTAAAATAGAAAACCACCTCTATATTAGTGTTTTTTTTAAAAAAAAAAAAAAAACAATACAATGCACTATAGTATAAATAGAATAAATATTTAAATAAGCATTGAAATGCCTTAAAACAAAAAGAAAACAAAAAAAAAAGGTAATACTACCCAAAATAATACCATAAAAAAGATTAAAAACAGTTATTCAAATTTTTTTTTTTTGTTAATTACAAAAAAAAAAAAAAAAAACAGAAATATAAAAACGAATAAAAATTCATTAAAATGGAACATAGTATTAAAAAAATGCATTTAAATACACAAATAAATAATGAAAAAAAAAAAAGAATTTAAAAAAATTCAGACAAAAAATTTTTTAACATTACCTATATGATAAATATACCAGTTGAGAATAAAAACAATAAATACATATAAATAATAATAAAAAATTTGAAAAAACCATAACTAACAAGTACACTTTGGAGAATCTTTTTCAAGAGTGGGAAACGAAGTGAGATTTCCTTTTAGTTCTTCTGTAATTTTAGAATCCTGATTAAAAAAAAATGCTTAAAATGCTAACAAGTAAAAATAATAAGATTATTGTAAAATAAAATATTATATAAAAAAAAATTTAAATTTTTTTTTTTTTTTTTATTTGATAGAAAAGAAATTTTATAAGAAATTACTTCTTCAGAGCGCAAAACATCAACATATATTTGTCGAGTAATCATCAGAAAAGCCTAATACAAAAACAAAACATATAGTATGACAAATAAAATTGTAGTTATAAATTTAAAAAATTCACTACATTATAAATTATTTATACACTAATTTCAACAACCAATAATATCCAAGATAAATGACAATGAAGCAACAAACTTACATCTTCAACATTTTCACCTGTGTAAGCACTTGTCTCAAACCATTGTATTTTAAACTCTTCAGCAAGCTACAAGTTTTTAATTTTATATAATAAAGTCATGTTGATTTAGTGCAATGTCAGGTAAAAAAAAAAAGCTCAAAAATCATAATCATAAATGTTGTTAAAATTTTTTGTTAACTCTGCATTAAAAATAATTATGTATATAAGATAAAATTCCTAGTTTTAATTTGTGTAAAACATCCAGAGTTAATTAATAAAACTTTTATTACAATTTATTATACAAAATCTTTATCATCTATGTTATAATTATATTAGGAATATATAAGGAATTAGGAATATATTATATTATAATATATTAGAAATTTTAAACTTAAAAAAAAAAATTAAAAAAAAGTCATTTGAAAATAAATGTGTACACTGTATGTACACTTATGTACATTATCATAATATTTTTTTACAATAAATTACATTATAACATTACATTATTACATTTAGTAAATTATATACACTAATTATGTAAATTATGTACACTAATGTATACTAATGTACAGTTATGTACATTTAAGCGCACTTATGGACACTAAAGTAAAGATAGTATATTATACATGCTTATGTATATTTTACTGACATTTTAGTCTTTATACAATATAAAAACGCAGTTTTTGTGCTAAATACAAGTATTATTTATTCACAGTGTTCTTTTAAAAACAAGACACTCATTTTGGACATCTGTGGTTTTAATCTGTAACCTTTTAGAGAACTTATTTTTTAGCATTGCAACCTTATCTCTTCCCCAACCTCATATATTTACCACATAAGATTCCATGATGTTTGTGTTCCATCACATTATATCAAGTTTGTATAAACCATACAAAAACCAATTGTGAACACAGCAAAATAATAAAAATATTTTGTTTTTAATTTCAAAGAAAAATAAAATGAATTAAAAAAAAAAGATAAAATCAAATCAAATGTCTTATTTTGTCCATTCAGAAAATGTTTAGCTTTAGTAAGTCTTTAAATTTTTAACAAAAAAAGGCAACAGAGCTATGTATGCTTGTTTCAGTTTATCAGGCACTTTGGACATTGATCTAAACATATGGGATGTAACACACATAAAATTAAATATTTCAATTTTTACATACAATTAAACTTTTAATATGTAAACATATCTTAAATAAACAAACAACCAAGAAGATTGGCTTTGAAACTCTGCAAATTTCAGAAATTTTTATTGTACCATGTTTATATACAATATTAAATTGTTATGGTTTTTAGTGTATTGCCTGAAATAGTATATATATTGGTTTCAAACGTTTAAGCATTTTTTTTCTTTTTTTTTTGAAATCTAAGCTTATATATATATATATATATATATATATATATATATATATATATATATATATATATATATATATATATATATATATATATATATATATATATATATATAAATATATATATATATATTTATATATATATAAATATATATATATATATATATATATATATATATATATATAATTTTTTTTTTATGTTTTTCTGTAAATTTAATGTTGTTTACTTCATCCGAAAAGTTAGTCAAGTGACTTACGCTTTTATTATCATTGGTTTAGTTATAAATAACTTGGACAACTGTGTTTTATATGCGGTAAATATTGGAGAACAGTGGTTGTTTCAAAGTTGCCCTTTTTTTTAAGTGAACATAGAACCTTAAAACATAGTTTTTTAGTTATGAATTTTTAAATTAAAATAGCTTAGTACTAAAATATCATAAAAATATATAAAACTTCAAGACCACACAGTTTTATCAGTGTGGTCTTTTCATATGTTAACAAAATAATTTCTGGTTTTTAATAAAATTTTTAGAACCTTACAACTTTTTCATTTTGTTAGAAGTTTTCTTTTTAAAGTAAAAAAAAAAGACTAACAAATAAAATATGCCTACTCTGTTTTCAGAGTAAATCAATTAAGTTTATGAGTTTATTTTAATGGTGAGAATAACATACTACACTGATGAGCACTCACTACTCATAATTTAAATTCACGGCAAGAATAATATACTACACTGATGAATAATAAACAACACTGATTTTTATTATATGATAAAAAAGCATCATATCATATGCAGGATATTGGAAAAAAAAAGATATTAAAGAAAAACACATAACTTTTCTGAACCATTAAAATAACTTAAAATAACTATAAATATACTTTCTTGTAATTTCATCAAAATTACATGCAAATAAAACTTTCATACAAATACTTATTAGCTAAAAGTTAATATGGACAAGACAATTGGCTACTTCTCTACAATAATAAAAATAGAAAAAAAAAACTAATAATAAAAGCAAGCTATTTTTTTAGTCTAAAATATTGTTTTGTATTTTTGTATATACAAATTTAGAAGTAATAACCTAATAAATAACCTAAAATTATATAAAAAAAAAACAAACAACTTTAACATACAGCTTGAGCTTCAACTTTTGTCACTTTTCTTGCATCCGTTAAATCACTTTTATTTCCGAGGAGCACTAGTTTAACATTTCCATCAGCAAACTAAAATAAATATTTTTAAAAATATTATCCACTGAAACAATAGCATTAAAATTATATACGTATAAAATCATACTATAACATTCAAATTTGAACATTTAAAGAGATGCCAGGAGGCACAATTCATATGTATATTCAGCCTGTGAAATCTAAAATGATTTCAGATACGTAAAATTCAGATCGACACAATAGTGCCAAACAAAGCGGATTTCATGTTTTTTTTTTATATTCTTTATAATCAAAATTTTTTGCATTCTGCTACAAAAGGGTTAATAATAAATTAGTTATAAAAGCATTGCTTTAGAAAATAATTATTTAAAGAATGTAGCAATTGACTATATTATGTGTCTAATGCACATCATTATTAAAGGTGATTCATTTTTTTGGTTCTATTTTTTTGTGTGTGGAAAAACAACACAGAGGTTTCTTTTTTAATTTTTTTTTTGGGAAATATTAGATATTTCCCAAAAAATATATTTAAATTCATTGTCAAGCTACTATATTTAAACTTAATGAAAATATCTTTATTTATATTTTAATTTAACATTCAAATTAAAAAAATTAAAATAAAGTTTAAAATTTAAAGTTTATTTAAAATAAAATTGAAAAAAAAAATTAAAAATAATATTCAAATAAAAAATTAAAAAAAAAAAGATTAAAATTTAAAAAAAGACTAAAATTGACTCAAATTCTTTTTGCTTTAGTATGTTTAAAGGTTTTTTCTTTTAGTAGAGAGGTTAACACAGTTTGAGCCTGTATAAAAAAACTTATTAGATAATTTTAACTTCCTAGTTTTGTCTTAATGGTTTTACTCTTATATTTCTATGTTTTTAATTAGGATATATATATATATATATATATATATATATATATATATATATATATATATATATATATATATATATATATATATATATATATATATATATATATATATATATATATATAGTAGTCGAAAGAATGTAGTCGAAAGAGACTTTTAATGTAAAAAAAAATCTCTTTCGACTACAATTTTGCTACCTCAACAATTAAGCTACATTTTATTGTTGTCAAAATGTCAAAGCAATTAAAATAATGCAGAAGTTTAAATTTTATTGTTTTTTAAAAAAACCGCAATAATAATGACTAGAAAGTTTTTTTTAATTAATGGTGTTTTTGTTGTTTTTTATTAAAATATATATCTAAAACATGCGCAGAGTGTTGCTACATCGATTATTTTATAGCCAGCTGCTACAAGGGAGTGTTGCTACATCAACTATTATATAGCCCGTCTCACAAAGGAGTGTTGCTACATTGACTATTTTATAGCCTGACTCGCAACTATGGCTGCTACATCGCTAGTGCTGCAACATCGACAATACAGCTAGTGCTGCTACGTCGACTGACAAAAAGCCTGACTCGCAAGGGAGTGCTGCTACATCGACTAAGGGTTTGGTTAGGGCAGGCAATTTTCTTTGTTTAGTTCAATATACAAAATTTAATTAAAAAAAATGTTGCCTAGCTTTCAAAATGCTCTGGCATTAAAACTTCTCTGATCAGAAAAACCTCAGAATACCTCCTCTACATATCGAAGCCATTTTCTGACATTTACAAACGAATCGTGTCTTGTTACATCATATGTTAATATAATTCCCTAAATACAAAAAAATGAAACTATATTAAGTGTAAAATTAGACACAAACATATTAGGCATTGCATACCAACATAATTTTAATTTATTTATTTTTTACATTACAAAAATTTATTTAGATTTTGATTGATTATTCATATTTTTTTACCTCTTAAAAACTAGCAATCAATATAAATTGTTATAAAATATATATTTTAATGTTTTGATTAATAAAGGTAGAATACATATAATACATATGCTTATTTTTTCCTTTTTTTTTAAATAAACAAAAATAAAATTTTAGTTGATCAGTTAAAATAATTAGTAATACTATAGTTCAACTTTTTTGATTTTTATTAAACGCAAAAACTTAGTTTGAATGAAACTTTTGTTTTGAAGAACTGATAAGAATATAGTACAAAGGCCAACTCGCTGAATTACTTTCAACACTAATTTTTTGCTATTAAAATTTCTTGAAAACTAAACATATGAAAATAGAATTGTTGACAAAAATAAGATAATTTTCAAAATATTAAAAAAAAGTTTCCCATAATTAGATTATAACATATATTAAAGAGACTGCAAACTTCTATTTTTTGATTTAAAAAAATATACATTAACAGAAAATTAAAAGAATAAGAAAAAGTAGAGAGATATTTTAATAGAATTTGAAAAGGTTGAGAGAGATATTTTGAAGATATTTAAATAAAGAATAGAGAGAGAGAGAGTTATTTGAAAAAAAGGAAGTAAACAATAAGAAAAAGCAGAGAGCTTTTTAAAGAAAAATATAAAAAAAATAATAGAGAAATTTTATTTTTAGTTATTCAAATCAATTTTTTTTTTCCATTCTTGTTTTTATTCTTTAACAATTTATTTGCAAAATCTTTACCATCTAATATATCAGTATTTTTTAACTCAATAACTTCAATTCTTTCTTTGAGAAAATTGAAATATCAGGGAGATAAAGAGTTTTTTCGAAAAAACATGCACATTCTTAGAAGGTTCTGTCAAAAACTTTCAAATAAAATTGTTTAGATTTTACTAGATGTTTTTTTGGCAAAAATACAAATGTACTTGTTTTACTATTATGAACTGTTTTTAAAAACTCTAAGCAATCAATAATTAAGAGATGTTATACATAGTTAACAGAAGTGTTATATATATATATATATATATATATATATATATATATATATATATATATATATATATATATATATATATATATATATATATATATATATATATATATATATATAGATAATTGAGTTAAACCAATTTTCTATTTTTATTCAAATATTATAAAAAAAATACAAATTTTAAAATCTAGATAAAAACTGAAATATATATTTTGAAAATAATATTAACAGAAACATCTAGCATATGTCATAAATCAAATAAGTTATTTAACTTAATTAATGATCTCACATATGCTGTTCTGTAATATTTAACTTATTTAATTATTGAACTCACATATGCTGTTATGTAATATTTAACTTATTTAATTATTGAAATCACATATGCTGTTCTGTAATATTTAACTTATTTAATTATTGAACTCACATGTGCTCTTCTGTAATATTGAGTTGTTATTGTTTCATATCTCTCTTGTCCAGCAGTATCCCTACAAATAGAAATTAAATTATTTTTTATAAAATAACTAATTTAACAATTTATTTTGTATTAATCTTTTTATATATACATAAAATTTACAAAAGAGCACATGGCTACAGACAGTTTACACTAATCCACACATTTTGGTGCCAACAATGTAAAAACTGTTTCTATTTTTCTGCTGAACTGCTGAACCAAAAAATTTTTATTGATTTCAAAATAATTTTTTTTTTTTTTATGTTAATGGCAAACCATAATGACTGACAATAAAGGGTTTTTAGCATTATATATATATATATATATATATATATATATATATATATATATATATATATATATATATATATACATATATATATATATATATATATATATATATATATATATATATATATATATATATATATCAGGGGCTATTCTAGATTGTTTTTGACAGCGTCAACCATATTTGGGCGCTTCCCAAATTAAAATTTGAGGACCTTTTTTTCTAAATGTTTTTATTATGTTTTTACAACAAATATTGTTTTTTTCGCAAAAAAAACCCAGATTTACCACTAAAGTCCACCAAAATGAGGGGGTACTGCCGCCCAAATCTTTTTCCTAGAATGTATATATGTGTATATATATATATATATATATATATATATATATATATATATATATATATATATATATATATATATATATATATATATATATATATATATACACATATATATATATATATATATATATATATATATATATATATATATATATATATATATTTATATTTACAGGGCCCGAATTATTAATAGGCTGATTAGGCTGCGTCCTAGGGCCCTGTGATTATAGGGGCCCCAATATGTCAAAAAATTTAAGAACTCTTTAATATTTTACTATTT